ACCTCCACCTAAACGTACTACCCTCTCGATTTATTAGTGTTTTACTGTCGATTTTTGGTAGATATGACCACCCATCGTTACGCCACCTATAAACTACCATTGCCACCTATAATCATCGATGCGTCACCTTTAATTTTTATTTGGGATGAGTCACAAATAAGTAACATTTCAATTAAAAAAACACCATCAAGAGCTCCGTGACACTTATGCACGTAAGTACTAGCACAAGTGAAAAGGATTTCAAATTCATCTCCATTTAAAGGTGATGTTTTTTCATTTAGTCTTCTTTCATATTAAAATGAAATGCATGACAGACGATATCATTTACACGTGATAAGTAAAAAAATACTTGAAATCAAATCCAAGTGCTGATACTTCATTTCTAATGAATTATTGAATATCATTTCATCATGAACGACCAGTAAACAGCTTTAGTCCCATAAAACTTGGAAATTCATGAGTATACAATATTACCCAACGTAATTAAATTATAATATTATTTGTCTTGTTGGAACAAAGAATTTCATCAACTTGGGTACCACCTTGACTAGGGTGGCCTTCATACGGGCTCGTGACAATGTTTAAACGTGCTGTTGTAGTCTCTAAAAAACGGCATGAATTTTTTTTTAATATTCATGCAGCTTCTCTTCTTGGTTTTTATCAAGATGAACGTGAACAGAAATAAAAATTGTAATTGTCCTACTATTGCGAGAAGATTGCTGCTAACTCTGAACAATCACTTCATGGGATTTTAAAATTGTTTCTTCTACTCTGTTCGATTGCAAGGACATCAAATTTTCACTTCGAGAGTTGAAATTGTTAGATTTTCAATTCATTAAACTTCGATGAGTATCAACTTATATTAGCATTACTCATTGTCCGCAGTAGCGAGCTCGGAACAGTTTTAGGTTACTATTGTTTTACTGGTGCCACTTCAAAAGTGGCACCAGCTAGGAATAAAAAATAAAACTAGGACTTGCATGTAAAGTCCAGAACGAAGAAGAAGAAGAAGAAATAGAAAAAGACGTTAGAAACCGAGGATAGGCGCACGACGCAAAATTAGGTTTGTTATACGTATGTGTAAATATTTGGCTGGCCTTGTTTTAGGAGAGAGGAAACATGAAACATGTCAGTTCAGCTTTTGGTGGTTTGTCGGGAGTGAAATGGGTCATTATTTACAGTATATATGTACATATTCTAGTATTGAAAAATTAGGGATAGGGAATATAAGTCGAATGAAAAGTAATTGGGCGTCGTATGTTTGATGGTGAACAATGTAGTCCGTGCTTGTTGGTAGAGGGACTGTTTTCGGCAGTGATGTCTCAATGTTTATGTAGCGTTTGTGACGGTGTAATGTCGGACCAGTTATTTTGTGGTGGATCTTTGTGCTTTGTTTTGGACTTTTCTGTAGTTTAAATATTGATTTTTTATAAGGTGTAAAGTGAAATTTGGGCGGATATTAGGGATGATGATCCAACAAAAGCGAGGCACAGGGTGCGATTAATATTGGTGGTAGGGAAGTGGTTGAATCTGTGTTTTTATGTAAATTTGAGGGCTATGTCTTTTCGTATTGATATTTGAGAGCTGAAGCCGTGTGAAGTAAAATTTAAACCTTAAACCGTTCCTAGGTGTTCCTATGTTGTGCATGGGAGTTATGTGTTGTTTATTAGTATGTTCGATGTGTTCCGCCTACTGATGGGAATGGCTTTGTGTGGGAATGGTTGTATTGGTAATGTCTTACGTTTATTATATGTGATGTCGTCTGATAATGCTATGCATTCTGTGTTAGTTAGTGGTGGTCGAAGGTCGTGCATGTAATGGCTGTGAAGAAAAGTGGAGGAGAGGCGAGCTTCCTTGTTGGCAACTGTGAAGAGTGTAGTATTCGGACCACACTGCTTTTCGAAATCTCCAGAATGGTAGTCAATTTACGAGCTGAACGGTGTGCTGAATGCAGAAACACCTCTCTAACTCTTTCTACGTTTTCGGGTGTTGTGGCAGTCCGCTGACTTCCAAACCCTATTACATTCACACTTCCACATGCCTTATATGTTCATACCCACGTAACGATCGATTTCCGTTCAGGAACCCGACCTGAGGGACGAATACGGAATGTTCGATGAGCAGCGATAGAACGGCCATTAGAAAAGTACACCGCCTCAACAGCTAACGCACGCTGCTCACTTGTCCAATGCATAATGGCAACTGACTAGGCGGCACACAGGACTTCATGACCTTGCTTTTCTCTATTGAACTACTTCCCGCTCTTTTCCTACATCATCTGGCTGCTTGGCGCGAAATACAAAACAGCAAGTTTCATTGAATCACCCTGCATGTGATTGCCTATTCTGACGGATGCTGTTCAGTCTGTGAGATAGTCATCTAGCGCAAATTTTTGTGAAGAATGGATGGAGATTGTGCAAGGTGTACAAGTTTTACGTGGAATGTGATTAATGCTGTGTGTGTCCTCAGTGTTTCCTAAAACCATATTGTCTATTGTTGAGCGTCGTGTGAATGGAGATATGTCCGTTTAATATGCTGTTTCGTATTTTGCCTAAGAGCTTCCCGTGGATGTTTAGAAGCCTAGCATTAAAATTAGTCTATAGCTTTGGCCTTGCTGTTGTGAGGTGCTGGGATAAGGGTGTAAGATCATGTTGGCCTTTTTGAGTGAGTCGGAGAAATAACCCGAGGAGAAGGGGCGATTGAATAGCAGGTATTGGATCATGTTTTGAGGTAGGTGTTTGAGCTGGAGGGTTGTGATGGCTGGAGACTATATATGTAGGTGCATTCTGTTTAAATGTTTTTAGTGTGTACTGTAACTCTGTAATTGGTAGGAAGCCTATACCAAGTAGAACCGGTTAAGGTTGCCGTTATTGCGCGCGTGAATGAGCTGATCGTTGTCGTTCATGAGGGCGTGTGTAGTGCGGACGGTTCTGTCGGGGCCGAAGCCTTCGATGTCTTTGTCTTTCAGTGTCAATATAGCCGTCCAGTGTTTACGGAAGATGAGTTCTACTTGTTCTGGTGTGTCGTCTTGACTATTGTCGTGTTGGAGACATGGGACGGTTTGTTTGGTGTTGGAACCTAGCATGCATTTTAGGGAATATCGGAATTATTTGGGATCTGTGTAGTTTCCTGACTATTGATGATACCGGGCAAAATGCCGAGTGTTTTGGTCCTGTAATATGAGCGTGCGGCTGTACGTGTTTAGTCCACTTCTCTAAGTGTGCCAATTTCTTCTAATGAAGGGTCGGGTTGTGTGGGTAGTGTGTTGTAATAGTGTTTTTGGGATAAAGTTCAAGCTCAGTTTGCTCAATGGAGAGTCATGCGAAGGCTAATGGATATTGTTATAGGATTTGCGGAGATTTTAGCTATTAATGAAATGTGGTCTGATGGGTCCTTCTTGTAGGCGAATGTCGTAGAATTCCTAATTGTTGTGTATCAGAGCGTCATCACCCATGATGTCCTTAGTCACTTTTATTACGTCACCTTCTGAGATGTCATTGTGGTGGGTCTCACTTTATATATACAAGCTCATCAAGCTGACCACCAGTCAGTCATAGACCAATAGTCTTAGCGGCAGTCCATTCGCAGCTAACCCTAGACGCTTCCACTACGTCTATCGACTCCGGCACGCTCTACCAATTCGCAGTTTCGTTAATTTTACCTCCTCAGTTACTTGTCTAAAACCTATCGTGCCTTACCCTGTAATCCTATCTATTAATAATTACTACCGAAGAAGTACCCGTCTCATCATTCATTCCTGATATACTGTTATTTGGACAACTAATAGAAACCCAGACTCTCAGGAAAGAACTATATTAGGTAACGATATGAACTGATTAATCTTTCAATTAAACTAATTATCAGGATGTTACTGAAAAGACGACCTGACATGACTGTTTTGTGATCTTGTGCTGTTGTGAGTGATAAGGATTGAGAATTATGGTCCAATATGGGTGGATTTGCCGTGTGCTGGTAGTGGGTACAGTTCCCTCCCTATGTGGTTGGCAGAGTGGTTCTCTAGTTCCATATGGTATCTGGTTGAGATCTGCAATGAGGTAAACGGGACGGGGCCAGTTCAGTAGTGTTTGAAAGTCGAAGAATGTAATTAAACTAGTCAGTTCTTAATGGGATGAATATTGTACCTTTAGTGATGGGCCATTTCAAGGTTTCTATTGTGATTTCGATCATATTCGATGAAAATTGTCGTATAGTTTGTATTGAAAATGACGTTTGATGGCTATGGCCGCGACGGAATAAATTTAGTTTATTTGCCGCTGTTGAAATTGTAGTTATATATCTTGAGTGGAGTGTTATTTTCTTTGGTGGAGTGGTCGCTAATAGGCATAATGCCGGTGCCTATGATATTGTGAATTTTCGCTAGTATAAATCTTTCGTTGTGCCAATGTCGGCATTGTGTTGTAATATCTTCAGTGAGGATTGGGGAACCAGTACAGCAGAAATATTTGACTACGGATTCATTTGTCTTTCTTTGTAGTCGTTTGAAGTGTTTGTCCATGTTTACAAATGTATCGTGAGGGACAATGTTTATTCCCGGGTGGTGAATAGTCTTCGTCTTAAATAATTCGATGGGAATCGGTTCGACGAGTCCAGGGCCAGAGCCTATTGATTCATTAAGTTGTTTGTCGATTTTTTTTTCATTGGTTGCAATCTTCGTGGTGCTTCTTAGTTGTTGGGGAAGAACTTTCTGAGGGATTTGGTGACAACTATGGTCGTGGGATATGCTTTCGGAACGGGATAGAGTGGTGGTGCCTAGGTGTGTGCAGTGGTCTTCGAACTGATGCCATTTGTAACAAATTAGTATGTGTTTATATTAATGTCATTCGCATAGTGTACATGTGATTCTGGTATTGAACATGGAGAAGCCGTGGTTTAGTATGTTTTGCGCCATGATGGTTCTTGTATAATTTTTTCTAATATATCAACTATTTTCAATGCATGAGTTTAATCTTTGTTTCTGACTGTAATCCAGTTTTGCAATCGTGTATTCTCGCCTTTAATTTTTATCAGCTCCTTTTTCCAAGTATCCTTGTCACTTTTGACTATTTCTAGGCCATCAAAAAGCTGCAACTTTTACATTAGCCATTGGAAAGGCTGAAGAACATGCACAAGTGTTCAATAGTGTTCTAAATTTTCTTATATTTCGTGCGTCTACTCATTAAGTGATGGGTGTGGAAAGTTTCGAGGTTGTGTTGGAGCCTCATCAGGAGGTGTATTTCCCGGGCCAGACTGTCCAGGGGCATGTGCAGGCGAGGGCTTCGTCTGCTACTTGGTGCGGAGGTACGGCATACATTTTACTTGCAATATATGATGTGAAATCTTCGGCAACTGTTTTTCGAGCTGTTCTTAACTAATTATTGAAATCACCACATTTCAAACAATCGTGCTTTGTACTTCATGAATTCGAATGAATAAAATATTCTTTTATCATGGATGATTTTCTCAGAATTGGAAAATGCACGATGCGAACAAATCAAATTTGAAAATATGGATAAGCAATATCATCACCAGTAAACCTTATTTCGTAGGAAGTCAAAAAGATATTTATGAATGTTGTTTTGGAGATTGCAAATAATTTTCATTTGTGCAGCCATTGAGTTCCACATGATAGGTAAAGCCAAAGTCAAGTGGGAGGATGGAGACGACGGCGAAGGCAACAAGAAGCAGTATAAAGACTCTGAAGAATATTTCAACTATAAGACGAACCTCTGGTCACCTAGAGGTGAGATCCGACGGTTATGCCATAATTTATTGGAATTTTAATATGGTGGTTTCAGTAATTTTTATCATGTTTAGTACGTGAATTAAGGATGGGAAGAACGTAGCTTTTTGTTATGATGTTATAATGAACATCAGAACTCGAGCAGTTAACTAGGCATCGAAAATCATGCAAGAATCTACTTCTCAATATTATTTTGGTCGTGCGTTCTCCCTAGAAAAATGTAGCACACAAGCAAGGATACACACTCTTTATATATCAATGTGAAATTACTGTTTTATCTGCCATTCGCGAGAAATTTCAATAAGTATCTTTTCAATTTTATTTCACGCATTTATAACCAGTTGAGTCAAGTAAATTTTTGCACACTTTCTTGTGATGAGTTAAGATCATGTCAGCTGAATAACCGAGAATAAGTTATTTCGGAGCTAGGAATTATAACACACGAATTTCTTGTAAGTCATATTCCGGTGTCATTAATTGTAGTGTTAAGACATTTTGCGACTTTCATTTTGTAATAAAATTATAATTTACCTTTACCTTGGCAACACCGGTATAGTTAACGTCGCGCACAGAATTTTCTCGTTAGTCATTATCGTTCGGCTGATCCCCGCTGCAGATACGCACGTTGCCAAGGGTATTATTCTTTACACTATTTTTCCATCTTAATACTTATATTCCAAGCCCACCTTCTTGTTAATTTGCCATGCAGTAAAATCTCAGTTCCAGTCTCTTTCATTTCCATTCATGTTTTACTGTGTGGGTAATGACTGGCACTTACCCCACATCATAATTGTTGCATCTTGATTCACTATTATTGAAATTCTTCAGTGTATCAAGTTACTTAGAACGTTGTTATATCGATAAATTATTTTCTGTACCAAGCTGTGCAGGCAGTAGCAAAGAATACGTTAATTTTTTATGGTTGAAAAGAAATACCATGCAAAAATCTGGAGAAAAATTATACTCCTGCTATGTTTTTCTTCCACTCTACAGCTTCTGAGAAACTGTCGGCCGGGAACCATGCATGGCCTTTTAATTTCCAGCTGCCGCTGAACATCCCGTCTTCTTTTGAAGGCACCGCGGGCTACATCCGCTACAGCATCGCGGCTAAAACATATATCTCCATGGGGTTTGATAAGAAGCACAAGTTTTACATCAGCATAAACTGCCCTCTTGACCTCAACTCTTCCTACTTAGCAAAAGTAAGTTCGCAGTAATGCCTCAACCTTATGGCTTCCAATATGTTGGTTCGTTAAGCCCAATACAAAAACCAAGAATAGACAAGAATAGCCCAATTGATAGTTAGCTACAGGCAGTTTTCGCTTAATATAAGCCGCCAACGCTACTATGCTATACTATTCTATGATCATCAACTGTCTATTCGATCTAAACTATTCTTGGAGAGCCAAAAAATCTCCTTTATTTTCAGGGTATTATGCTGCATATTTTGTTCACAGGTATTTGTAACCTATACGTAATAACTTTTTCCAGGCGCCGCTGGTGATCCAGACCACTGACACGTCGTGCTGTCTGTGCTTTTCGAAAGGTCCTATCAACATCAACATGAGGTGTGAGCACTCGGGGGCTGTGGTGGGGGAGGCGTACCGCATTAGGGGGGAGGTGGCCAACAACGGTTCTAAGGAGGTGATATCGGCGATGGCCTCACTTTACCAGGTCTTATATGATGAAAAAACTTAATTTATTCCCACTAATTTACTTATAATGTAGCATTTCTTCCAATGTGTTCTGTCACGATAGGCTGTTAATATTGTATTATTGTAGTTCAGTATAAAACTAACTTGAGCATCTAACGTAATTTAACAAATATCTGAAGTATCATTTAGTTTCTCTCACATTTTCCTCTAACTATGAATGACAAATGTTGAAGCGTATGGTAGGTGAAGATACCACAACATATTTTAAAATCATGTTTGGTGTCCATTGTCATTGCTGGACCTCAGGGCTTGGGTCATATTTAAATTTCAAAGATTTAACGCGCGAAAAGAAAGTTGTCGCCAAAATTGAGTGTGTTGCCCCTCATTTTTTGCCATCTAGGCATTTTTAACATTTACAAGGCCATGATTCATCGCCTAATTTCTAGCTTCCAGCATGCAGGACAAGTCAAGTCAAAACTGAAGAAAGCTTGTCCCATTGAGTTTTTTTCACGAAGCAGCGTAATCTTTAACACGTTGAATGCGGTACGACTCATCGGTTTGTTGCAGTCTTTCTTCGGGACAAATTGCGCGATTTAGTTTTTGGTATTGCATTGGTCAGCAAAAATTTATGATGGAGGTCCTTTCTTATAAAATTTGAAAAAGTGCGAAAGAGCGGAAAATGAATTATGCACCGGAACCAACAAATTTACTAGCAAATATTGAATTATGGGCTTTTTTTGTCCGCAGACCTGGGTGTTTTAGGCCATCTTGCAACCCTGGTGGTTCGTATCGCACCAACGTGTTAATAGACCAATTTCCCTAAGCACGAGCCAATCCTCTATTACAATCATCTGTTATCAAATTAGAAAGGGTTTAAACGATTAAAGGACGTTCAATCAGATAATTTTTATTTATTCATGACCCTGCAGCTGCGAGGTATTCGTAGGTTGAAACAGATTTAAAGACAAGGCCGTCAATTCAGTTTGCTCGTTTTGCCTCCGAGGCCGTCCGAGGAGGCCGTCAAGGTTTATATACATAGAAAAAATAATGGCATATTCTTGCCTCAAAGCATTAAGCTATAATAACTCGTGTATCAATATAATTAGCAGTTATAATTGTAACGTTAATTAAGATGGACTGAAATCTTCGATTAAAATTAAATGTACATATATTGCTGAATGTGCGATTGAGTTAAATATAAGTATAATTTTGTTTAAACAGTCAAGTGGCAAGTTAAAAATCGCCAAGGTTAGTTGAAAACTATGGCACCTAATGGCACTTAATGACACTTCGTGGTATGGTTAGACATGAGTAAGAGAGTAAGCTTAAGGCAAGAAAACGACTTAGTCCCGCCAACTAGAGTCGCCGGATGTCGTTTGCACAAGGGCATAATAAGTGTACTTCAGCTAATGTCAAGTAAATATTCATAATAATATTATGTATTATGTAATCAATCCACAGGGAAGCGCTAAATATAGCAACTCAATTGTGCAGGCGTGCCACAGTGTTGAAAGATATTCATCTAACAGGCCCACCGTAATTTATATTTTCTACTGAAATATTGTGAACAACGATATAAATACCACTTTAAGTTACCCAGGTAAACGAAGCCTTGAAATTGGCGATGCAAGCTACCAGAACCAGTACATATGTAGTGTGACCAAATAGCTCGCGCTCGAAGCTATAGCTCTAATTTATAAAAGAGTGTCGCCTATTTCTTAAGCGAAGTGCTCCAAGAAGTCAGGTTGTGGGATAAAATTCCCCACCACAATATTTACATCAATGATTATAAATGATTATATTTTCATTGATAATTTACCTTAAGGCTGGCGCTCCAAGAAGTCAGATTGGGAAGATTTTCCCAAAAGAAGACTATGCAGTTTTGCGGTACATATTGTACGCTATTTCACAAATTAGCATTATTTTACATCAGCTTAAGTGTCACTATAAAACAAATTAATATAATTATCATGTATTATTATAGCAATAATAAACTATTATTATGTTAATAATAAAAATATTAATAAACTGTAAACATCCACGTGCAGCACGTGACGTACCGTGTGAGGTCACACAAGAAGACGAGCAAGAGCCTCGTGGTGGAGATACAGAGAGGCCCCGTGGCCCCCGGGGACAGCCTCTTCTTCGAGGACGAGCCCCTGGTGGTGCCCCCCGTCGTGCCGGGGCTCCAGCACTGCAGGATTATGGACCTAAAATATGTGCTCAAGGTGGGACTGAGATCTACGCTGGGGCTCAGTTGGGGCCTTGAAACGAGTGCTGAGGGTGATATTATTCTGCAACGTTGCTATCTTGATATCAACTTTTCACCATTTCTATCTCACAAAACTAATAATTTTTTGACATCACAGGTGGTGGCAAGTTTCAGCTGTTGTAACGACATCTCGGGCGAAGCTGACTTTGTTGTGGGTACGGTGCCTTTCATGGTAGAGGGCGCCATGCAGGACCTTCCGCCTAGCGCTCCTTATGACGGGTCATCTTATAACTCCATTGATCCGCCTCCTGCTTCATCAACCTTTTTTGTGACCTCAATGACTCAAGATTTTCCAGCTACTCTATTTACAACTGATACGTACAACCAATCTGCTTCAACGGCCTTCGATGTACACGAGTCACGAGATGATGCTCCTTCTTACCCCTCTGATGATCCGCCCCCGTATGCCGCTAATGACACTTGCTTGAACCTTGAAAAGAATAGTACCCATCCAAATGCTCCATGTGTCCCTGGTTCAGATTCATCTTCCACAGCAAACTCTGCTTTTGTGGGTGACGGTGTCGCAGCTCTTTCTCCAGGTTTCATTCCTGTTGGTAATTCCATGGACGGTTCAGGCCCAGCAAATCAAGGAACTTTGAATCCGTTCCCCAACAAGTGCAAGTTATATATTTTGAATAAAGGATGTGCTATCGGAATCAACGCAAATAGTTTCCAAACATATTTCAGGCTGTTATTGACCATAGTTTATGCATCGTCATTTCGTCTCAATATTTCCATGCGTTGCAATTTATATTTTCGTTTTCATTTGCACCTGTAATAGAACTTTCTAGTTTCTTCTATGAATACCAATAATTTTAAATGTTTATGATATCGATATAAGTTGCAGATCCTCCCAAAACTGCGCGTTGTCATTTCTGCGTGAATTTACGAAAACGACTGGACACCAAATCCCCTGCCCCATCCTACCTCACCTACAAAGGTTGCTTCTAACCAATCTTTTCATCAAGAGTATATTAAAAATCATCACGGATGATTTTTAATTAAACGCAAGAATATTGAATTCGTGCGACGTTCACCAGCTATTTATTCCTCACTATTATACGAGGTCTTTTATCATATAACCTATTTTTTCGTAATGTTCCTACTTCAAGACTAAAGGAAAACTACTCTTGCTAGTACATGCAGGCTCTTGCTTACATGAAACATAACCACCTGAAAACATTTCTCAATATTCATATCTCTGACTAGAATTTGTTTGAGAATCGATATTTGTAATCATTTACTAAGATGTTCATATCTTCCGTCCCTTCTCCTCAATGTGACATGGGAAACGAAATCTTGATGTTTATTTCACCATTTTATAAAGATTTTATTAATATAATTGTTAGAAATATAGTAGGATGTGTACGAGTTTCGTAACGCTTCCAAAAAACAATTTTGTATTTCTGGTAAATAATTGATAATATTGAAAGCGGAATCGACGAAAACCTTTAGCCTATCAATTAAACCTTGAAAAATAACCCATTTTTAAATTTTTATTATATTACACTTATATTCCAAAACGTGGAGTAATTCTATCAGTCTGATGAAAGAACTTCGTCTGGTACTTCTTGTGCTTAAAAATTACATATTTTTATATATATATACATCAAAATTGTCATTGGCGTCCATCGCAGACACCCGTGGATGGCAATAAGAAGACGGTTCATTTCTAACTGTTTGCTTCATATTGTGGGTCCATCTTCATGTTCAGTTCTCTGCACATACAGAAAGGCATAAGATGGCGGGACACACATTATTATAAAATAAATAAATCTACAGGTTATTCGGTTACGCTTGACCAAGTAAATCACTCAACAATTCCTTCATATTCTACCTTGGCTAATGTACACTTAAGATCGAGTTCTTCCATGTTCTACTTTGGCTAAATGTAGTCGTACTTTATTGAAAAAGAAAATTAGCTACTGCAGTATTAAACGATATTAAATTAAGATCCTTTCCTGCTTCAGAATAATATAACGGTCAAGGAGATGCAGTGCAAACTGACTGGTTAAGTATAACAGGCAAAAGAATGAAAATGGCGAGTGATTTATGGGAAATTATAACAATGTCGATATTACATGAAAGGCTGGAAAATTATTATCCGAAAACCAATGCCGGACCAAAAACGGCAATATTGACCAGGACAAATCTCAGCTGATAGAATAGTGATCAGCGACAATGTAAAAAGTCACCAAAAATATTTCAAGATCATTCACGAAATGGTACTAAAAATTGCAAATATATTAACAAAATTGGGTGCCGGAAAAAGGTAAAGCAGCACATACATACATTACAAAGTGGTAGGTTGTTGAGAGCAAAATGAGGTAACTTTCAACTGCGTGATATTGGCTCACATAATAAATTAGTCAGATGAAACTTCACTATTCACGTAGGTAATTCAGACATAGAGAATAATGCCAAGTTAATTCAGAAATATTGTATCACGGTATATATTTCATTTGATCAGAACTTAAACGTCTCAATTCTCTCAAAAATAGGTCCCGTATGATGAGCCATATTGAAAGAAAAATTTAACACCTGCGGTACTGGATTCAACATGCACCATGCATGCACCAGTTCTTACAAAAACAGGTCCCATATGCTATACTCTATTCTAAGATTGAACACACGAGCTACTGATCATAATTGATTTTCCCTTTCTTCATTTACTTTTTCTACGTGTCACTTCAGTTAAATGTTGTCCTCATGACGGAAAACGCCGTATTTATGCCGCCGAAAAAGTCAAGCTAACTCCGAAATACGGGTTGGCCGTGCATATGCGGATACAAATTAAAATTCTAATGCTGGGTTTTCTTAAGGCACAAAAATCTTAATTTGATCATCCACAAAAGTTTATGAGATTCGTATCTCTTTGAATAAGAAATTCTGAAAGCTAGAGAAAGAAAGTCTGCCAAATTTTGGATCTTGCTGGTATACATATTTTGATATATTATAAGATGAGGCATTTGTTGCTCATGGATGTTTGATTTTTTAATAGTTATAATTCTCATAAGTCACCTCTCAGTTCCATTCTTGATGTTTGACATGATTGTAAAATCAGGCTGGTAATTCAATATTGAATGAATGAACGATATTCTTCACTTGAAATACTTTGTGGCTTGCTGTTTATTTTTATAAACGCGTTACCTGGAGCATAAAGTATAATTGCATAAAGTATAAGTTATTTGCATAAAGTGTAAGTTATTTGCATAAAGTATAAGTGATAAATTACCCAATATTGATTGATCAAACGAAAATCTATAAATCATTATATATGTCTGGAACCTTTTGCTAGTGAGATTCATCATCAGAATCCCCAGATATCCAGATATACGGAGATGAAGATAAAGGGATTTCTGAAAAAAATAAATGATAAAGATATATGAAATATAAATAAAAGATAAAAAGAAATGATGCGACATCGTAAACCATATAGAGTTTGTTTTCACCAAACTAGTGCTAAAACGATGTTTACATGTGCAAAAAAAAAACAATGTTTAGATATCAAAAACTATGTTTTCACAATTTTAGACTCCTAAGTTGATTCTTCATGATCCGAGGATCGTTATCATGTTTATCATTAAAGAATCAATAATTTAATATTTACTTATATGCAATTCTTCCACATTTTTGAAAATTTCAAACGACCCCCGGATCCCGAAGGAATAAACCCAGCTAGGGGTATGAAATTTTGCACACATTTTTTTCTCATCCGCAACTTTTCCGCCCTATTGTGAAATTCAACTCCGAAGAATTAGAAAAACGCCAATTATAATTGGCGGGTGTAATTTGTACGAAATATTTCTACCCTTCCAATAGTTTGTTCTAGCGCTTAGAATGATATTAAAACATGAATTGTTATACAATTCTTCACGGAAATATAACCCTTATAACCCTTATTTTAAATCTCTCGTATAGTGACATGTTCTTTGTTAATCTGATTGTATTTATAACCACGTTTTTCTTCTCTTCGTTTCGTGTCCGTCTGCCATCAAAACATCAAACCTTAATTTAAGGCACTTCTGAAGGTCCTAGCAACTTGAAATTTGGCGTGCATGCTTATTCTTCATAACAATTCAAGATTTGATCATCAGAAGTAATAAGTTAACAATAAATAATGAAAAATAAAAAAACCCTAGAAATTCACGGTTGGTAATCGAGTTTTTTTGTCGAACATCCAGAGTTGCCAACCCTGGAAAGTGAAAAATTGCTAAAATTGCTAAAATAAAAAGTAGAAAATAAGTGCATATAAAACTATTTTTAAAAAAGACGTTTTTCAGGTGTTCACAAAACTAAAAACAATGAAATAAAACAAATAAAAAAATTTAAAAACCACGCTTTCCTTACGGACAAAAAAAGAAACATTAACTTTTTCAGTGAGTTGTCCTAAATTTTATTCTTGACCTAAAATTAAGTTTAAAGTTTACTTTTTCAAATCTTATGCCGAGACAACACAAAAAACGTGGGGCGGGCATTCTGAACATCTAAATATCATATATTTTGGGGAGCTACAGATCAAGTATTATGAATAGAACTTGGGGAATGGATGTGTCTTACAGCCCGCCCCAGGTTTTTTGTTTGTGTTTTCTCAGCATAAGATTTGAAAAAATAAACTTTAAACTTAATTTTAGGTTTAGAAAACTCTTCCTTAATTCTTCTGTTGAAAATTTAATTTGAAATGTTTAATATCTGTCGGCAATGCTAGCCGAAAGTCAATTGGGATGATTAGCATTGGAATATTCATTGATGCCCCCGCCACTTCTCTTACAGAAACTTACGATGTCGACGCACTGGAGCCGTTATCTCTTAGATATCATTTTCTCATTAGCATACATCTTTAATTGTCGCATGCTTCTCATGTCTCTTATCATTCATATAATCGCCTGAAATATCATCTCAGGTGTACCACAAGCCTCATGTCGGCTGGGGGTCCAAGCATTTTGTATCATATGTCAATTCTCTGACATCCGCCCTATATAAATCGACGGCAGTTGCTGTGCAAGATTTGGTGTGTGGCAGCGGGTGCCTTCACATACCATTCATACATCAGACCTATTTCATTCTGTACTGCTAATCTCGCCTGAATTAGACCTTAATCATCCATTTTTATAACAATTCTCTTGAACTTCACTTCTTGTTGTTTGTTTGTTTGCCTGTCTGCTACAAATCTTATAATCGATATTTAACACACTTCTACCTCTTCAATCGATCTGAAATTTTGCACACATGTGCAAAGTTGGAGATAATGCATGAATCAATTGACATAATAAAAAAATTTGCAAAATTTTAAAAAATTTGGTATTAAACAAAATTGAAAAAAGGAATTTCGTCTGCTACAAATCTTATGATTAATATTTAATACACTTCTACCTGTTCAATTGGTCTGAAATTTTGCACACTTGCGTAAAGTCAGAGATAATGCATGAATGAAATGAAAGAATAAATAATTTTGAAAATTTAAATTTTTGTTATTAATTAAAATTTTTAAAAATATGTTTTTTTAATATTTGAAAATAAAATTAGAATTTCATTGTACATGTGAATCATCGGAGACACTGGTTTCTTTGGAAGTGTTGTCTCTAAAAATTATTTGTTTAACGCATATTATTAACATCTCATTCAAACTGAAGCTTCTACTTGAATTTCAAATTTAATATGACAATTCTGGAACTATTTCCATACCAACCTGTCTGAGTGTGTCCTTCTGTTTTCATCATTGATAGTAGTAGCTGGAATGTAAACGGTTGATGGACAGGTTATATAATTTCGTTAACTATAAGAGGAAAATAATCTGTTAATTGATTGCAAACTAAGAATATGAACTCATTTTAGGCATATTATCCAGTGAGATGTAAAAATAAAATGGACAATTAGGTTGGTTTCAAGATCGCTTCTGTAATCTGTTAAAAAAGCCTGTGCACCAATTTCCATTTGAAACAAATAGAACTAGAATTGTAAGAGAATATCAAATTAATGTCTTTTATTCCTCTTTCATTAAATTTTCGGGTAAATGAAAAAAAGCGCTTCAGGTTCCTTATTTATCAAGTACATTTCCACAAGTGAACACAAAAATTTAATTAGAGAGGACGTAATGAAGAAAATTATTACTAGCTTTGAGACATAAATTGCTATGGCGCTGATAAACATTGAATTTCTTAACGGATGGTACGACTTAATTCACGACTTTATTTTAAGTCACGACTTTATTTTAAGTCACGACTTTATTTTAAATCACGACTTTAAATATTTGAGCGACTTTGATTTTTTACACTTCGTTCAAGTAGAGGTATATTTTTATTCATTAATCAATTGTTTTAGCAATAATTAATACTTGCTAGAATGTTGCTCAATCGCATAAAATTTGTATACGTTTATGACATTTTCTCGATTCTTATCTTCAACAGAACCAGTCCGTTGTGAGGAGATACAATTTTAGAATTTAACCATTAGCGCGATGTTCCGGAAAATCGTGGAACCAATGTTCGTAATCTCTCTCCTTATGGTAAGAACTTATACATGATTTTTGCAGGAAATATGCAATTCACATCGCTAATCTGCAAAAAAGTTCAATGGAGTGACCATTTTACTCAATGTTGTCCAAGGGCCTGCTGTTTATTACCACTTTTTTCTTAGTTTCGCTTCGTCTCTGTCTGTCATCAAAAATTCAAACCTTAATTTATAGCACTTCTAAAGATCCTATAAACTTGAAATTTGGCATGCATGCTAATGCCAACACTAACAATTCAAGATTTGATCATCAGAAGTAACAAGTAAACATTTTTTTCTTCTTTAAATAAAAAGTTAAAGAAAAATTTAAAAATTCACGGTTGGGAATCGAGTTTTTTGTCGAACATCCAGACTTGCCAACCATGGAAATTGATTTGAATTGCTAAAATTGCTAAACTAAAATGTAAAAAATAAATAAATATAAAACTATTTTTAAAAACCACGTTTTTCTGGTGTTTACAAAACTAAAAACAATGAAATAAACAAATAAACTTTTAAAACCACGTTTTCTTAACGGACAAAAAAGAAAAACATTTAGTCTCACATAAAATTACATAACATTTTACATAACTTTAATGTTATGTAAGAATTAATGTTTTTCTTTTTTTGTCCGTTAGAAGAACGTGGTTTTTAAACGTTTTTTATTCGTTTTTTTTGGGATGTCTTCCGTGACGATGGAAAACGCAGGCTGCCATGAATTAGAAATTCGGTTTTGTTATTATGGTACAAACAGTAATTGACTTGTTCTAATCTCACATAATTTCTGCGATTCATTAATTAAGTTATACGTATAATGCACAATGAAAGGATTCTGTACGTAGTGAGTGTAGAATAGAATAATCACATAGATGGAGTGCTGTACAACTTTCGTGGAAAAGACTTACTGCCTCGCAGGCCAGCGGCAACAGATATGGAACACGGAAATTGAATTCAGTAAAATTTTATCTCATTTTAGGCATCGCTTGATGCAATTAGCTCGTATAGTATTTAGGCAGAGTATGTTTTGAATAATGACTGCTTGATTATTCGCAGGTGTCCCTAGTGACCTCGGAATACCTACCGCCCATCGAAGAGAGGTGAGTTTGAGGGTTCAATTATTATTCCTGTTGTCCGGGAAATTTTCGTCTGACATATTTACCAAAATCAGGCTCATTTTTCCATTTGTTCATTTCAATTCAGAGGCGCTTTGATCCTTTTATCTCATTATCCATTTGTCTATAGAGTGAACAGTAGCTCATATGCGTGCAGTTTTGTTCAATTTAGAGGCGCGTTCATTTCCGAAAACAATGGCAATAATTAGGGCAATGAAAAAATTATACTACTTTTCCACCTTCGAGTCATATGCAAAATAATCTGAAATCAGTCTCACATATCTTTTATCCCCAGAGATCTGCCCACAGTGGGAAGTTTCTGCTCCACACACGGGATTGCCATTCAAGGGGATTTCTGTGCGTCGTGCAAGCAACCAGTCTACTGCGACCCTACGGCAACCCCCACTGTTACTGTTCCCTGGGATGAATGCGACGACGATTACGTGAGCCAAAATGCTTCATTAATTAATGAGAATCCTCATAGAAGAAATTTATGGACTGAATTATACATAATTATTCTCGGTTGTAGATCTTTTAGTATTGGATTTGTGTATACACATTCAATGCATCTTTTGATCATGCATTTTCCAAATGTCATCAAGTATTAGGCAGACGTTAAGATTGGGCATGTCATCATTGACACAAAACGATATTACGTGGCATCAATGTCGCATCCTGTACGAAAAAGCAACCACAGCATATTAGGATGTTTGAGAGAGATTACAGTACAACTTTGCTGTAACGTACAAACGTAAGAGGAGGCCTAAATTGTGAACAGTTCACACGAAAAATTAATGGTACATTTTTCCAAATAGTGACACACTTTCATACTTAACGCATATAGGAAGAGAGCGAACGTAGCATTGGTACGCTCTTTTACCTAGGCAAACTCTGTCAGGATGACCAACACAATTACGAGGAAGTGTATTGAAATTTCTCTAATTTCTCTAAGGAAGAAGGATCGAAAAGTCTCTAATTTCTCTGGGAGTGCGGGGCGCATTTAGTGGTACTTGCTTGCGGCTAAGAAAAAAATTTATCCCATGTAGATACCAAACTATTCTGGCTGGAGCCAAAAATTATTAAAATATAAAAACATTTGCATGCCTGCATTTATTTGCTTTGTTTCGTTATATTGAGATGTATAGTAACAAGAGGTGGTGATTCCATCACGATCGAATGTCAACATACTGCAAAACAACTTATTGCAAACATTGCGAGATGTGGCAGCTTATTTTTGGGCCTGTATGGTTAAATCACGCACATCGAATAAGCCTCACTTAATTTTTTTTTTTGTTTTGTATCAAGCAGGCAAAACATGACACATTTATACTCGTATATTAGCAGGCACTTGAACCAGTATAATACAACCATATATAGGCGGCTGCACCACACTTGTTACAACCATAGGCATCTGCACCACACTTGTTACAACCATAGAAACCATAGGCGTCTGCACCACACTTGTTACAACCATAGGCGTCTGCACCACACTTGTTACAACCATAGGCGTCTGCACCACACTTGTTACAACCATAGGCGTCTGCACCACACTTGTTACAAACATAGGCGTTTGCACCACACTTCTTACAACCATAGGCGTCTGCACCACACTTGTTACAACCATAGGCGTCTGCACCACACTTGTTACAAACATAGGCGTTTGCACCACACTTGTTACAACCATAGGCGTCTGCACCACACTTGTTACAACCATAGGCGTCTGCACCACACTTGTTACAAACATAGGCGTCTGCACCACACTTGTTACAA